AATAATAAAATCTAAATTATATTTGAATCCTTACATGGCAACTTATAATCAAAACAGAAATATACCTTACAACAATAAATATAGATAAAAATTATACTCATAATAAACATAAACAATTAAGTATAGAGAGATAGATATCTAAACCTAGAGATTTCAATAGTAATTGTCAAAAGGCAATAAACAGAAATACTAATGTAGAAAGAAAATCACTATAACCATATTAATGTATTGGACATTCTCAATTGTTATATCAACTTAATGAGAAGAGCTTGTAGTTCGACAAAGAGCTTGTAATTCAACAAAGAACAATGCCCACCTACTAGATGCCATATTGAAGACAGGATACATTGCTCTAGGGGGGGAGTTGGACCCTCCATGGAGCACCAAAGCCATGTCCCAATTAATCCAAAAGAGAGCTCAAGTCTCTATTAACCTCTGACTATGTCTCCAACAACTAAACTAAGTGTAGCAACTAGCTTAAGCCTAACTAGCCCCACCACCATGTTATGTCACCAATAAACCAAGGCAAACCTTGTGAAAAACATCAAAAGAGCCAGGCTAAGAGCCCAAAAAGGGAGACAAAAGAACTCTCACAAAGAAGAAAAAACTTTTACTTTTATTTACTCTCCCTAACTTGCAGAGAGGGAAAGAGGTGGCAACTAAAGAGAAAAGAGAAGCAAAGAAGGAGGGAGAGTATTCAAGCAAGAAAGGAAGAGCGAAGGTCGGCATGGAGGTAAACTTTTATTTTGTTCGATACAATTGTTGCCCCATTCAAACAATTGAAGGATTTTATTTTTTATCTTAGTTGTATAATAAAAAATAAATTTTTCACGTTTTTTATCTCGTTTTATTCATACACTATGTAACTTGAATTCAAAATTTTTATTTTTTAATAAAAAAATTATCATTAAATTATTTAAATCGTTGACAATAATAAAAATGATAAAACAACCTCTTACTTTGACCACGTATTATTACTAAATTGCTTAGCTGTTACCCCTGCTAACAATGTTTTACTAAAAAAAAAGAAAAAAAAAAGTGCAATATCTAAACCAATGTTATTGTTAAAATGTTACCATTTACATTTATAATTATAATATGATATTAAATAAATAAATATTTATGATATTATAAATAAATTTGTAAATAAAAAATATAACATTTTATAAATTTATAATACCATAATACCATATATTATTATAGTTATATTATTTTGATATCTAAATAACCAAATTATGGCACTTGGACCTTCCATCTAATGGCGTCAGGTCACATATAAGTACATTCTATCGTCCAGATCAACGATTCGAATTCAGCCCCTTAGGAATTTATTCAAAAAAAAAAAAACCAAATTATGGATTTTATTGCTCATTTTCTGATAGCATTATACCACTAATGACAAGAATAACTGATGCAGGCTCCAAAAAAAATTGCATTAGTGAGTGCAAGTCGAAGTAATTAAATCCCAGACGAGGCAGACAATTAGCAATTTGCAATATAAAAGACGCTAATCCTCTTGATTATGTAAAGCCGCAAAAACAGTGCTTGGACTGCAAACATGGCAGATAAGTGGAGGCACACCGCTCTCCTCGTTATTGACATGCAGGTCTCGCTCTTTCTCTCCTTCTCCTCCAACGGAGACACACTAATTTTGTTTACTCATATCTTGTTGGGAATTTGATTTTAATAAGTTTTTCTGGGAAAATGGGTATTTCAATCGCAGAACGATTTTATAAAAGAAGACGGATTGTTGAGAGTTGATGGAGGGAAATACATAGTCCCCAATGTTATTAGAGCCGTTGAGATTGCCAGGCAGCGTGGCATCCTCGTCGTTTGGGTAATCTTTAACTGGTTCACTCTTATTCCGATTGATGTTGCATTTTGGGATTTTTATTTATTTCCCTGGAAAATCTGTACCCATAAGTTTGTTTTTCCCCTGAAAGGAATGATATTGCCTTTGAGGTGAAAAGGGTTTTTGGTTTTCTTCTTTCCATGTGAATTGAAGAGATATGCTGGCTTTTGAGGGTTCCACTGGACATCATGTTGATTTTAGATGTATGGGCCCTTTTTGTTTGGGGGTAAAACTGTTTACAGAGTAACTTTTTGCGGAGAAAGAACTTAGTAATTTAAAATTGTGGATTTGATATTTCTGTAACGAACCTTCCTTTCTGTTCATGTACTGATAAGTGTTAAGTTTTGATGAAAAAATTAATAGTTTGGTTTGTAGCAAGGGACTTAATGGGTAGTTAAAGAAGGATTTCCAATGCGTAGATGGAGATACTGATGAAAAACTTCTTGATTTAGGTTGTTCGTGAGCATGACCCATTTGGAAGAGATGTTGAACTTTTTCGCCGGCACCTGTACTCAGATGGTAAGGTTGGTCCAACCATTAAGGGAAGTAAAGGTGCAGAGCTGGTAGATGGCCTTGTGATTAAAGAGGGGGACTACAAGTTGGTGAAGACACGTTTCAGTGCATTTTTTGCTACCCATCTGCATTCATTCCTTCAAAGTGCTGGGATTAATAATCTTGTCATTGTTGGTGAGAATTTGGAACTTCCAAGCAGTTTAATTAAGTGACTCATGAGGCT